TGGAGACCCGTCCACCAAGACGTATCCATAGCGATGTATCTACCCAATGCATTTCTCCCAACGCACTTTAAAGAAAGAGACCGACTCGCAGAGTGACGGAAAAAGGAAAATACCAGAGTGGTTCGAAAAAGGTGGCCACTCGACTAGTGAAACCCTGGTCGTGGTGCCATCTATCCGCGTGTCCTTCACGGGAAATCGCGTCACTCCAATTACTCTTGGAGGGGATCCACTCAAAGTAAATCCAGCATCGAAGTGAGAACAAAAGAATGTGGATCATGTGACTCATATGTTCGAGGTCAGGACTATCTGATCTGCCTTTGATGAGCGCCATCAAAGCGGCAGTGTTGTCAATGTACCATGTGCCGCGGCGATTACGGAATCGCTCAGGTGTGGTAGTCAACGCAATGAGAACTTGCAATAACTCTAGCTGTGCTATTTTGGCATCCCCTGGCGTCCAAAGGTCATAGATGGATGAGGGGAGGTGAGACACAAACCCAAGCCGGATCTCCACGGCCTCGTGGAAGAAGACAAGGAGAAAACCACCCGCGCCTTCACCTGGGGTCTCCAAGGCAGCGTCGGACGCTGCGACAAAGCGCTCATGGCGTCGTGGCCAGACATCAAGTTCACGCTCTGGATGAATGGAGATCACAGCCTCGAGAATTTGGAAGCATTGCTCAATTGCAGGGGTCAGTTGGTCGCCTCGGACGAGTTGGCGCTCCTTAATGGCATGGAGGCCCCCACATCCAATTCGTCCGTAGACACCCTGTTCGAAGAAATTGGCTAATCCGTACAGCTTGGCAGCAACACCAGGTTCGAGAGTGTGCGTCTCACGACATTCATGTATGATGGCCTTCAACTTGGATTCCAGGCGTTCCCTCGCCCAAAAGAGACGTAGCCTCCTGAAAGGGCGGCTGAAAGATCGTGGTCTAGGCCTAGAAATAATCCTTTATGATTCATAGCCTGACGCTTCTCTTCCGCAAGGGGGTGCCCAGGAGCTGGTTCAAGACACCGAAAGCCCATTGAGCCGATCCCCGGCTCGAAGACCAGTCTTGGATTGAAGCATCGTCGAAGTAGAGCGAGACCAGAACGTAGCACAAACGACGTCCGAGGGCTTCCACAAGTCGACTGTATCGGTTGAACGATGTCACGGCAAGAGGAAGACCAAAAAGAAGACCAGCATAGACCTGGAAAGCTGGGGCAGCCCATTCGTGATGCCAGAAGGTGACAACGCATCCTCGCGTTTCGGTGACCCCCATGGGACTGTGCCGATAGGCATCCGGCCAATCTTCCCCACCTGATTCCCAGGTGTCAGTGGCTGCAGCCTGGGCTAGCTCTGGTGGGCTCATGTGACGTAGGACTTGGCTGATGTGTTGAGCCGGCCTGAGGGGCGAGCAGAGCACCAGCTTGTTGGCGTCGGATGACCGCAGGGTCTGCCCCCCTGCGTCGGCATTGTCGATGATGCGCTGCTTACCCGAAGATTGGGTAATCACACAGCGTGGAATCAGACGATACGGCTGCCCATGCAACTGCTGACGCAACTGTGAAAGCGTCAATGGAGGTGTACAAAACCCCCGGGCGGCGTCCTTCGTGGATTGCTCAAGAAGAAACTGATCATCTTTGCCCGGCTTGAGGGTAGACAAGATCTGGTAATTATGCTCGTCGCAGCCCGACAAGACATCCGCAAGAGTGATGCGGTCAGCAGGTTGAGACGGAAAGACTCCGTAGCATGGCGCATAGCCCACCGCTGGGAGGCCGTCAATCAACCCGAATGGATATGTGACATCAGGCCACGAGGTCAGCAGAATCAATAGCGCTACAAAACCGAGGTCACGAGTGGCTGTGGTAGCCTGCAAGGCGATGGGTTGGAATTGCCGCAGATGTCGCCCCACTGCACACCAACGCCGATGGAGCTCCCGCAGTGCCCCCACTGCTGTACGGCGAAGATCTCGTAGATGGCCTCGGTAACGAGTATGGCAGTCGGCGGCAAAGGCTAGATCCAAATCCAGCACCGCTGGTAGCTCTGTAGGTAGCAGATCTCGGCCTCGCTTCAAAGCTTGAGCGAAGTGTTCATCCGGGCTGAGGTCATAGGATAGCAGTGGAGGGAGTGCTGCACGCTGGTTCAGTGCGCCCACCTGTGGCCTTCGGCAGTACGGAGAGTCTGGCGGACTTGAGCATCAGCCAAGTGGGGGCCCAGTGGCCCATCTGTATCGCAATGCCTTTCATGCAGCCAAACAGGAAATGCGTTGAACGGGGCTGCATTGATAATGTCCTCGACCATAGGGAACTGGAAGTTCGTGAAGAAGTGGGCTGGGTACAGCTTGAGATCAGGGCTTCCTGGCTCCACCAACGTGTAGGGCTC